TATAATATCTCTAGTACCATGACCTCTTCTAAATCCAGCCTGCACATCTGGCAGTTCTCTGTTAATATAGTGTTCCAGTCACTTTTGGATAATCTTCAGCAGAATTTTGCTTGTGTGTAATATTAGTGATTTTGTTTGGTAATTTCCACATACTGTTGTATCACGGTTTTTTCGATCTCAGAGGATTTCTAGGCTGAGAGCTTGGTGCTCCTGGAGTGCCCCTCATATGAGAGCTGAGAAGTGTTACCTTTCCTAATAGCTCCTGTGATTGGAGAAGCACAGGCTCTCAGAAGTTCCTGCAGTGTTCTCAGGATAAATTGGGTGATGAGTAGATCAGTGGGAACAGAAGAATCTTACTCAGCTGGTTCCAAGAGAGGCAGGAGAGGGAGAGAAAAGGTTTTCGTTCTTATACCACTGTCCTTCATGTCACATTTTATCTCTCTTCTCTGCCAGTTTTGGTGACGCCTCTGAAGCTTGACTGCCTTACCTTAGGGACCAATCTTGAAAGACTGTCACAGCCACCTCACTTCTTATCCCATCCCCACTGAGTGTTTGACTTTATAAAAGTTCTTGCCTCAGTCCTCTGGAGTAGGTTCTATTTTCATCCTGCAAAGGCTCAGAACTAGTATGCCTGGTAATTGGCCAGTATGGAATTGGGCCCAAGGTATCTGTCACAGAGTTTTTTGGGGGTCACCTCAGACAAGGTTCCACATTGTTGGACACTATCTCACAGAAAGTACTTCTGCTTATGGAATACATTTTTGTAAGTATTTTCTCCCCTGCCTGGATGCACCCAAGATTAGGCCATATTTCCTTGTGCCCATTCTCTGGCAGTATTTCATTGTTGTTCATGTAGACATGAGCAGATGAGTTAAGAGAGCGCTTGGCCTCAAAGCATGAATCTGGCTTCTCTTCCAAATCTCCCTTCTTCTATCCACACCATATTCCTATCAAACATGTTTAGTGCAATCTACTTAAGAAAATAGAAAAATATGTAAGAGATTTAAGAATTAACATTTAAGTTAAAATAGAATTAAAAATGTGACCCTTTGAAAGAAGAATGTATCATTATTTTAAAAGTGTATATGCAGTGGTCTTACCCTCTGGCCCTGTCAGATCAACTTCACATGAGACGCCTCCTTATGCACAAGTGAGGAGTGTGTCTTAGGAAGCAAGCAAGAGCTCACTTGCTGGCCTCTGAGCTTGGCTGGAATGGTGAGTGACACAGGACCAGAGGTGGAGAGCAGGGTCTCCCAATGTGGGCTCCAGAATCTCCCCATGAGTCCTGGCTTCCCCGTGTGAACAGGGTGCAGTGCTGGGTGATTGTCGTGATGGGGAGAGGAGTGATCCCATGTACATACTTAGAGCAGGTGGTGCCACCAGCACTATCATCAACAGCATACAACATGCCAGTGTTTTTCTTGAAATTATTTCTGTTTTTGTGACTTTAGCTTGTTTAGGAAAACAAGCAAATGAACAAAAAAATTTTAATCCATCAAAGTCATAACATCTGTTTCAAATTACTTCTAGAAAAGTGTGTGGAAGAGTGTGGTTTCTGAAAATGACTGCACAGCACTTACTGCTCTTTGTTTAAGGCCTGTTGCTTCTTCCATTGGTGAATGAAAGTGAATTAAAGACACTTACCCTCTAATCTCCACTTAAATTCAAGTACTGGTGTTCCTAAGTACTTTTAGTAGATTAGCTATGACTTGGCCATATCACATTTGTGCGTAGTCTAGCAACAGAAAAATAAATCAGATATACAGACAAATTGTGAAAAACCAGCCAAAGTCTGTGAAATGAGGTCATCTTAATGTCTCATTGAAGTTTGGCTTAAACCTGTTAATGAAGTTGATTCAGTTAGGGATAGCAGAAAGGACATATTTTCCTATACTAATATTTTCTTAAATAGGAAAAACTATGGTAGGTAACTGACATCCAGAGTGGATCCAAAGTGTCTGTTTTCGGGAGTGCTGGGCTGTTTAAATCACAGAATGATTGGTTTATTTGTTATTATTTTGCATCATAACAGAGAGAACATTTCTTAATAATGTGGTCACTTGCTAAAGTCAGAATGGCACACCCCCACCCTCCTCTCCAGGACTGAGGAATGCCACCCTGTCAGGAGCAGGTTTTCATGGCCGTGGCCATGGCGACCGCCCTCTGCACAAAGGGACTAGCCTCCCCAAACATGGGCTCTGGCACAAACATTTGACTTTCCTCAGGGCAATAATATTAGAGCAAATTCCTTGTCTTTGCCAAACACAAGTTTCATTGTGAGAAGCCTCCAGCTTCCTTAGTGAAATATGTCTTCCTTCTTTCCCCAGAATCATTCAGTCAGGTTTTATCCCCATAAACCCGACCCTGAGAAGCAGCTTTGGAACACAGCTGCTGCTGACTTGAATTGGGTGGTGGGAAGGTCTTCCCCAGCTCTGGGTAGTGCTCACCCTTTAGGGTGACCCAGATGCCTTTGTGCTTGCTTTGCTCTGTGTGGTAGTGGAGAGACACTGTTTTTTCCTTCTGTGTGTGGTGGAGACCAAGCTGCTGGAGATAGCCACCCCCAGGGCAGTGGCAAATCAGGGGCTTGTTGCCATTCTTTCCCTGAATTGTGACCCTGTTTGGCTGAGTTTTTGGGTTAGTGTTGGAAACCATGCTGCACATATGCATGGATCTTACCAGAACACTACTCTTGTGTCCATGAGCCAGGCTTTGCCTCACCCAGCAGCTGAGTCAAATGGGTGCTGAGTCTGGTGCAGTGTGCTAGTGGCCCAAACTGGAATGGGCACCCTCTCTACACCTTTCTGGGTCTCCTGGTAGTGGTGGTTCAGTGCCCCAGGGACTGACAGCTTAGCTTATTTTCTCATCTTTGAATACAGACCCACTGCTCACTTGGTGCCTTTGTGTCCAGCTCTGCACCTTCTTGGCAGTGCTGACCCCATGACGGGGGCCAGCACACATCAGCTGTTAGCAGCATCTTTTCTGGGATGCCAGATGTCATGCCCCTCCAGGCCCCTCTTCAGCCTTGCCTTTTCCTGGCTTGTGTTTATTCCAAGGAGCATTGAGACAGTCTTTTCTTGGGCTTTGCCCTCAGCATCCTACATCACTTGCTGACTGTTCAAGTCAGCTTGTTGTCCAGACATTATAGAAAGTGCCAAAGGACTATCGAACATCTCAATTTTTATTTTGAAAAATCTTCCCCAGAACTTGATTTAGTCATATACTCGGTAGTGTTTGCTGATTTTATCCCTTCAGCTAATACATCCTGCTTCCATCTGTTGTTACCCCACAGATAGCAAAACAAAACCTTCTAGACCTTGCAATATTCTTATAACCTGTGCTATGCTTAAGTCCTTTGCTGCAGTCACTATGTCAGTCCATCTCATTGGGATTATTCCCCTTTTTCAGTGACTCTACTTTTCTAAGTTGTGCCAAGAAATCTGGAGAACAACCAGTTGGCCAACTGAGTGGAAGAGATCTATATTTGTTCCTATCCCAAAGAAGGGTAACCCAATAGCATGTGGAAACTACAGAACAATATCATTGATTTCACATGCAAGCAAGATTCTACTGAAGATTATCCAAAAACGACTTGAACAGCACATCAGCAAAGAATTGCCAGAAGTTCAGGCTGGGTTTAGAAGGGGTCGTACTGGGGCTATTGTAGATGATGTTAGATGGATCTTAGCTGAAAGCAGGGAATACCAGAAAAATGTCTGTGTTTCATTGATTATGCAAAGGCATTTGAGACTGTATGGATCATAACAAACTGTGGCTGATTCTGAGAAGAATGGGAATCCCAGAACACTTGATCGTGCTAATGTGAAACCTATACTTGGACCAAGAGGCAGTCATCGGAACAGAGCAAGGAAACACTGCATAGTTCAAAATTGGGAAGGGTGTACGCCGTGGATGTGACCTGTCTCCATACCTTTTCAACCTGTATGCAGAACAGATTATCCAGGAGTCTGGGCTCTGTGAGGAAAAATGTGGCGTCAGGATTGGTGGAAGATCTATCAACAATCTGCATTATGCAGATGACACAACCCTGCTTGCTGAAACCGAGGAGGACCTGAAACGCTTGCTGCAGAGGGTCAAGGACTGCAGCCTCCAATATGGATTGAGGCTCAATGTCAAGGAGACAAAGATTCTCACCACTGGACCAATTGGTAGCATCAGGATGGATGGTGAAGAGATTGAGATTGTTCACAGCTTTATAGTTTGCTTGGCTCCACAGTGAACACTCTTGGCACCAATAGCCAGGAAATTAAAAGACGTATTGTGATAGGAAAGTCTGCTGTTAGGGACCTCTCCAAAGTACTGAAGAGCAATGGTGTCTCTCTGGAGACTAAGGTGTGTCTGATATAGGCCATGGTCTTTGCTATCACATATTATGCATCAGAGAGTTGGACAGTGACTAAGGAGGATAGAAGGAAAATTGATGCCTTTAGCTGTGGTGCTAGACAGGATTATTGAGAGTACCATGGACTGCTAGGAAAACAAACAGATTCATCCTGGAAAGGGTTAAATCAGGCTGCTCCTTGCAGGCAAGGACTCTGCGGTTTTGTCTAACATATTTTGGACATGTTGTAAGGAGGGAGAGGTCCTTGGAGAGGGACATCATGCTTGGGAGGGTGGAGGGACAGCGCAGGAGAGGAAGGCCCTCTATGAGGTGGATTGATTCAGTGACTTGGGTAATCGGGATGGGTGTGTCGGAGGCAGTGCAATTGGCACCGGACAGAGCAGAGTTTAGGACTGTTGTACATAATGTCGCTATGAGTCGCAAGCGACTCGACGGCACATAACAACAACAACATGTCATTATGGAATCTGGATTGTTATTTTTTTATTTGCACCTCTTGGATTCTTTGTAAAGCTAGCCTGATTTTCTACTTCAGAGTGTGAGAGGTCCCTCCTTCTCCTTTCATATGTATTTTACTGTTCATTAGGAAAGCGAATGCTTTGAAAATTGTCAAAGAGCTTTTCTTCTCTTTTTTCAACAGTTGGATATTCTAAAAATCGAGCGATAGCACAGAGCTCAGGGACTTACCTTTGCTTCCTGGATTCAGTAAGTAACTCTTGTTTCATTTATTATGTGTGATGATTAAATAAAGTATGTGACCTTCCATTTTATTGTGCCTTTTGTTAAAATTGGTTGACTGTTGTTATTAGGTGCCATTGAGCTTACCTTGACTTAGAATGACCTGTGAACAACAGATCTGAACCTTGTTCTGTCCTGCATCATCCTCATCACATTGTCAAAATGCTCAAGCTGATACGGAGAAGAATGAGAATCCCAGAACACTTGATTATGCTCATGCTAAACCTATACTTACAGCAAGCAGTTGGCTGAACAGAACAAGGAAATGTTGTTGTTAAATGCCGTCGAGTCGTAGACAACTCATAGCAACCCTATGAACAAAAGACCTGAGCACGCTGTTCTTAGAGTTTCCAGAAGCAAGCCATTTTGGAAGTGGATGCCACCCATCGGGAAGCTCCACCAAACACTGTCCACCATGAGTAACCATTATTGCATTTGGCACATCAGTGTCACAGTGTTCAGCATCATAGCAACCAAGAGTTCCCTCTGTACAACAATGCACAGACCAGTGCTATACCACTTAGAAGACTGTTTGACAAAAATAATTTTTTTTGTCTTGGGTTTTTTTTTTTAAATTTTTTTATCTTTTAATGAACATTTATAGAGATTTTGGATTTCCATTCATTCATTGTTGCACTTTTCTCCCTACCCGCCCCTTCCTCCCAGTTCGCTCCTCTCCTTGAAAAGTGAAAGACAAATTCCTTCATTGGGATACAATCCCCGCCCCCCCATTCCCCTGTCCCCTCTTACCCTCTTTTTTTTATGTTGGTTTGGTCTAGGTACTGTTTATTCCTCTTTTGCCTTTTGAGAATTCCAGAGTCTGCTATGGTTTTCATTTCCACTAATGCCCCCCTTATCATTAACAGCACATGGAATCTCTCTTAGTTGAGAGAGACTGTGGTGGCAAACAATCTTGTGTGGCTTAACCAAAAAACCTAAAATATGTTGCAAGTCTACTGAAGCTCAGGAATGGAGCTGAATTGTATGTTAATTGCATGTTTAGTTTATAAGAAACTGGCACACTGTTTTCCAGAGAGACCATGTCATTTCACATTCCCACCAGCAGTATGTATGTGAGATTGGGGTCTCTGACCTTCACCAGCATTTGGGATTGTCATGTATTTTTAATTTTTAACCATTCTGGTCTCTGTGTAATAATAGCTCATTGTGGTCTCAATTTGTATTTGTTTATTAGCTAATATCATTGTATATCTTTTCATTTGCGTTTTCTCCATCTGTAGGTCCTCTTCAGTGAAATGTCTTCATATTTTCTGATGGACTTGGATTTGGGTGTTGTTGGGGTGGGTGTCCCCCTCCCCTGTTTTGGTAATTCTTTATATGTGAGCACACCTCACTTTATTGCACTTTGCAAACACTGAGTTGTTCTTATATTTTCCCTTCTACTTCTACTAATGGAAGATTTGTGCAACTTTATATCAAATGTTTTCCAACAGTGTGGGATCACCTCATTTATATATGTCACATTTTGTCACAGTTCTCACAGTCATTCAGACTTTTCCATAATGCTGTCTCATGCAGAGGAGACTCTACTGTAAAGCTGTCATCTGCTCTGAAAAACGAGAATATTCATGTGGCTCCCTTAATTGCAGTTACTGTTGTTATTATAGTCCTCAAGTTGAGTTGACCACAACCCATAGTGATCCTATGCGCAGCAGCTCTGAACCTTGCTCTATCCTGAGCGAATCTCACTGTCTCTGACACACTTACCCCAGGTACTGTGTCAGTCCATCTTATTCAGGATCTTCCTCTCCTGCACTGTCCCTCCACCATTCCAAGCATGATATCTTTCTCCAAGGACTAGTCCCTCCTGGAAACTTGCCCAAAGTATGTGAGACAGAGCTTTGAAATCCTTGCCTCCAAGGAGCAGCCTGGTTTTACCCTCTCCAGGACAGACCTGTTCATTTTCTTGCCTGTACCCTCCTTAATTCTTCTTTGTCACATATGTGGGTACAGATGTATCCTCTTTCCAATTTGTGGCTTGCCCTTTCATCTTCTCAGTAGGAATTTTCAGAGAGCAAAATTTTCAACTTTAAAATTTGTTATGATTTGAGTGAAAGTTTATAAAATGTATTAATTTTTCAATCTTTCATACACATTTTGTTCCATAACATTAATTATTACAATACCCATAATGCCTGATCATCCATATTACCTTTCCTTTCACCAATCTTAATAACTGTTTATTATCTGTTTATTAATTTTCTACTCCCTGCTTCCCATGACAGATGGAGAAGAGATTGAGGTTGTTAACAATTTCATCTTGCTTGTCTCCACAGTCAGTACTCATGGCACCACCAGTCAGGACAAAAGACAAATTGCACAGGGGAAGTGGGCTGTCAGAGATCTCTCCAAAGTGCTAAAGGCAGTCGTGTCAATCTGGAGACCAAGGTGTGCCTGATCTACACCATAGTCTCTGCACTTACTTGCTATACATCAGAGAACTGGACAGTGAGTAAGGATGACAGAAGAAGAATTGATGCCTTTGAACTGTAGTGCTGGAGAACAGTCCTGAACATGCCATGGACTCCCAAGAGAACAAGTAGGTCTGTTCTGGAAAGGGTGAAACCAACTTGCTCTCTGGAGGCAAGGATTTTGAAGCTCTGTCTCACAAATTTTGGGCACTTGTCCAGGAAGAACCAGTCCTTGGAGAAGGACATCATAGTTGGGAGAATGGGGGGACAGCTCAGGAGAGGAAGACCCCGGATGAGATGGAGTGACACAGTAACAGAGGTAATGGGGTATGTCAGAGTCTGTGAGACTGGCTCAGGATAAAGCATAGTTGAGAGCTGTACATAGGGTTACTATGAGTTGCAGGTGACTAGGTAACACTTAAGCTCAACAACTCCCTGCCTCCTCCCTGTGCCCTGTAGCCATACCAGAAGGATTCTGTCTGAAACTCAAGTGCCCATCAAGGACCAAATGAGTAAAGAAATTGTGGTACCTTCACATATGCCACACTAAAAACCAAAGAATTTATGAAATGCTGTGTAATGTGGATGAAAATGTTAAACTTTAGAAGAAATCCAATTTAAACATTTTTTTTTCTTTTATATAGATGATGCTTTTGCTGTCAAGTTTAAGAAACATTAGATTCCCGAGGTTGTGTCCTATATATTTTCCTAAACATTTTACTTTCATATTTAGCTCTGTGATTCATGTGGAGTTAAATTTTGTGTAATGTGTTTTTGGATTGCAGTGTTGTTTGAGATGTTTGGCCACTGAACAGCTAGCTCCTCTGCACCATTGCAAGACTGCCCCTCTTCATTGAAGTGCTTTGTAGACCTTTGTATGGGTCTGTTTGTAAGTTCTTTGTTAGGTTCCCTTGATCTCATTGCCTTTTTCTTCAGCAGTCTGGATTTCTGTTACCAAAGAATAAATCTTGGGAGTCAGGTAGAGTGATTCCTTCTACCTTATTCATCTTTATCTTGATATTTTCAACTATTTTAGGGCCTGTACTCTTCCATGGAAATTTTAGAATACGTTACATCTACAAAGATTTTTGGTGAAATTTTGGTAGGAATTGTGTTAAACCTGTGTATCAATCCAAGTGTAATTAGCATCTTCACTCTGTGGGCTTCCATTCACTGAATAGAGTCTCTTTACTTACTTAGATTGTCTTTCATTTCAATGGTTAGACTTAAGGGAGGCTAGACTTTATGAGGAGGAATGTTGAATCAGGATTGGAGGAAGACTCATCAACAACCTACTTTATGCAGATGACACAATCTTACTTGCCCAAACTGAGGAAGACCTGAAGCATTTGCTGCGGAAGGTCAAGGACTATATAGTTTCAATGTGGATTGAAACTCAACATCAAGCAAAGATTATCATCACTGGGCCTAATGGCAGCACCATGATAGACGGAGAAGAGATTGAAGTTCCATGTGACCCAGCTGTCCACTGCTTGGGATATACCCTGAAAAAATGACAACTGAGACACAAATGGAGACCTGTACACCAGTGTTCATAGCAGCATTATTCACTGTCACAAGAACAGGAACCAGCCCAAGTGTCCAATTACAATTTAATGGATTGAGAAATTATGATACATTCACACAATGGAATACTATGCAGCACATAAGAGCAATGATTTTGTAAATTACTACCTGAATTTGGAGGGACTGGAGAACATTATGCAAAGTGAGCTAACTCAGTCCCATAAGGACAAATATTGTATAAGACTTATTGTAGAACAAATTTGAGAATCTAAGCTGGGAGGGTGGGAGTAGAAGGGTGGGGATTGGTGGACGTTAATCATAGAGTTGCACAATTTGATGGATGGGGGATTAAGGAGATGGAAAAGATCTGGTGTGAAAATGTGTGTGAGCTTTCTAGTAAACCATTAAGAAGAATAAAAAAAGAGAGAGAATGAGAGAAAACCTGAGTTAAAAAGTGACTCACATGCTTGTTAACTCCAGGAAGCAATTCCTGAGCTCGTGGATCGGACCTGAGACTGGAGGCATTTCCTGACTGATACTGTTAAGAGCCTGACGAAAGTAAGATTGGCAGGTCAGAAGGAAGCCTGCTGGTTCACAAATTGGAGGTCAGATGACCAAAGCTGAATGCAGGATCCAAAAAAAATCCTAGTTGTAAAATCTAGTAAAAAGCGGGAGAGTTCATATACATTCACTTTAGGCTACCTCCTTGAAGAAATTCCTTCTGGATTTATAGCAGATCTCACAATGATGGTGTTTGCATTGTGTCATATCTCCCCTTGGGGAATGACTTTATCATTTCTGCTACGTTGGCATACGACCTTAGCCATTACAGTTGCTACCTTGTTGAGAATTTTAACAGGAAGTCTCAATAGGTATTACATTCTTGTCAGATGACAGTTCTGCATCAGCTGACAATTGATGGCTTTTGTATGTTTACTGCTGTATTTTTATAAGACACCTAAGTTAGGACTTAGGTCAGGTGGATGCCTCCCAGGGGGCCCTTGTGCT